CAGACACACTCAAGTTCCAATATTGGCTCTGCCAGTCTCTTTGCTGTGTGACCTTGGACAAGGGGCTTAAGCTTTCTAAACTATGGCTTCCTCATCTGTATAATGGAGCAATTATAGAAACTCCTATATAATGTTACTGTGTGGGCAAAATGATGTGATACTTATGAAGTATTTAGCAAATTGGTTGGTATATTAATAATCTGTAGGCGCTGCTAAGTAAATTGGATTTTTATTTTCACAACATCCTGGGAAGATAGCTGGAGAAGGCATTAACATTCCTATTTTAGAGTGGAGGAAGCCAAGGCTTAGGGAGGTTGGTGACTTGCTCAAAGTCGAAAGTAGAATTTCATCTGGGGACAGGTGGTTCCCATTTCAGGTTCCCGTTACTGTTTCCACAGTAACATGCTCCCCTGAATTTGCCAAAGAAGTAAAACAAAATAAAATTTAAATTTTGATCTCAAAATGCTTCCTTTTTGATCTCCAATAAACAGTCATTTCCATAAAGTTCACTCCATGAGAAGGGAATTATTTATGTAACATATGAACAAATATGAGAAATTGTTAAATTTATCCTGAAAATAATATATCCTGGAAGTTATCTCTTAATCTACTATTGGCCCCACCCCCCTCACCTCTACTTTATGAAAATCAAGTGAAAATGCACACCTTCAAACCTATGCAAGGTGGCATGGGTTCCATTCTGCAAAATCTATGAATCAAACAGCAAAGCCGCTATTTTACTAAGTCTTTTTCTTCTCCTTCACTAAAACCTTAGCTTATTACCTCCTCTGATGTTTTTAGCATTCAAAACAGTTTGATTTCCGTACCTTTGTTGTTGCATGACTCTCAACATCGTTAACGGGGTGTGAAGGAACGCCTTTCACAACCTGATCCTCACTCCTGCCCTTCCTCTATACCATCATCATCCTTTGTCATCAGAAAGTGACCAGTATTACTCAGGCCATGTTTTTCCTTAATGATTTTTTAATGATTCACCTTCAACATAAATCCAAGAACAAACACTATTAAAACCCAAATATTATTTGCTTTCTTAAGCCTAGCTCAGTCATCACTTCCTTTGGGAAGCCTCTCCTCTCTTGACTGTGGGTGCTTTCTAATGAGGCACTTACCTCACTGCACTGTCATTGATCTGCACTGATATCCACCTTCCCTTGCCTCTGGTAAAGGTGGGCTCAGCTGTACTCTCCTCTCCACCTCTAGTGCCTCGCATGGTGCCTCGCCTTTTTGCAGATGAGCTAAATGTGTGTTGAATCAAGTAACGAGATCGGTGCTTGGTACAGTCCCTCGAAATGGGTGAAATTCTTTCAGGAGAGTTACCTATAATACCTGTTAAAATATTCTGGTAGAAGTTGTGCTTGGTCCTGGGGTTAAATCAATATAGTGAGTCTGGCAGGCAAAAAGGTGAAGGTGCAAACTCATTCTCTTGGGTGCATGGCATCCCTTTTTTCTCTGGTTTTGTTGCTTCATTTGGAGATACAACTCTAATTTGATTCTCTGAGTGCTTCTACCGACTCCTGGACCGTGAGATATTTCCCAGGCTCAATCTTCTCTGCTCCTTTCTTTATCATTCTTCTAGACCCTGAGCAAACCCCTAGCGTGGTCTTGACTTTTCGCCCTTGTTGGGGCGCCACTACTACATTGGCCCCTTGGATATCTTACTAATATTTCCCACTTGACCATCCAAAGCCAGAATATCATTAGATTCAAAGCTGAGAGCACACCACAGAAGATAAGGAAGAATGAAGAGAACCAGGCCAACGAGCCACTGGATTTACCGTAGGTCAGACCACTGGGAGTCTTGGAAAGAGTACTTTTGCTGGAATCATGGCTCACAAGCCCAAGTGTAGAGGCTCTCACAACCACTGTGTCTGGGAGCCTGAGTCCCCCTCACTCTCTTGCAAACCCACTGTGTGACCTTGGATAAGACACTCCGCTCTGGGACTCTGTTTTATCAGGAAATCAAGGTTGGACTTACTCAGTGGGTCTCAGTCTTCAGTAAAACACCATAATGCCATGGAGAACTTGTTAATAATGCTTACGCCATGTTCCCGACCCCCAGACATTCTGGTTTAGGTCTGGGGGAGGCCAAGGAATCAACATTTTCAACACACTCCAAAGGTGAGGCAGACTTCCTGGACCAAAGATGATAGGGTAGTGACCTCTTAGTTCCTTTCCAGGTCTGACATTCCCTCACTTGTTGGATTCGGGGAGTAGAGGGTAGCGAGGAAGTGCTAGCAGACAGCCTGATCTATTTGGGAGGTGTAGCCAAGAATGAAGACAGCAGATGGATGGGATGTTCAGAAGGGTCATGTTCATGCTATGTCCCTCAGACAGGTGAGTTTGATTGAGCCAGATTTGAGAAGACGTCAGTCCTAAAAGAGCAGGTGGGACTGAGCCTGCCCCAGCTGCCTGCCCATGTCAGGCTGAACTAGCCACTCCTTTTGCCCCGTTCAGGTGCCCTCCAGGGGTGTCCAAACTTTTGGCCTCTCTGAACCACGCTGGAAGAAGAGTTGTCTTGGGCCACACATTAAATACACAAACACTAACAATAACAACAAAAAAATCTCATGTTTTAAGTACATTTACAATTTTGTGTTGGGCTGCATTCATAGCCATCCTGGGCCGCATGCGGCCCATGGGCTGTGGGTTGGACACCCCTGCAGAGGTTACAAACGGGAAATATGTTTCGCTCACACTGTGGTAATTTTTCCCAACACTTAGAAATTGGGAAGTGTCACATTTAAAACTTCTAGGTCTCTCTTGGAAAATCTGAAAGATGAGCCACACCGGATTCATCCACATTGGACATTGGCTGGAGCTGAGCAGCTGCGCCCCCTTTGGGTGAAGGCATGCATTTCCCAGTCTCCACAGTCCTGCTGGCTGGCTGGCAACAGGATTTTGAGTTGGCTCCTAGCTCTAAAATTTGCTCTGGGATAACAGCAGAGAGCTACACATTGAGAGAGTATGGAATTGCCTGCACTTGAGGATTATGGACATGATTCTGTACACAATTTTCACCTACGCATAAGAACATTAAGAAATCAGAGTGGAACTCACTGCTCTATCAGATCGTTGAGGCTATGGACCTTTACTTGACATGGTTTCTCTTTGAAGGCACATTGGAGGAATCTCTTTAAAGTCTCAGTACCAGAATCATTATAGTGGCATTTCTCTTGAAGATCAGCTCTATCTTTAAGTCGTGTGAATGGTATACCGAATTATTTCTGTGCTAATACCTACAAAGCTCAACACCAAATTCAGGGCTCGCCTGTCAGAAGCACTCCATGGCTTTCCTTGGAGCTATCCTTATGAGTGGCTCTATTTTACTTCTTAATCTTGTTCTCCTATTGCTTTTTCCTACTTCTTTTTAATTTTATCTTAGTATAAGAATTGTATCTTTGAAAAGTCAGACCATCAACCTGTTAGAATAAGGCAAAGTTTAAATAAATAAGCTCCTCTACCCTACATATAACTTCGTTATAGCACTTTCTACAATGTATTATACTTATCTGTTTAGATTTTGGTCTCATCTACTAGACTGTATCTTATTATCACTCTATCACTAATACCTAGGCTAAAGCCTTGCACATAGTTAGCACTTAATAAATGTTGGAGTTGATATTAAAGATGGTAGAGAACTGGCAGAGCAGGGCTTCATGGAACAGGTGGAGGGATTTGAAATGGCATAACTTCTCAGACCAGAGGGCTGTAGGAGTCCAGGTAGCGTGTTCTGCCATTTTTCTCTCCAACTCAAAAAACATTCCAAGACTCCAGTTTGATATCGCTCAGTTCAGAATACTGCGTTCGGAGAACTCTCAAGGGCTTCTGGCATGGTCAAGAGAAGACGGGTGTTGAAGCTGATTTGGAGTTTGAAACCCAAGAATGTCTTTTCTTTTTTTAAAAAAAAAAAATCATTGTGGAGATTTTAACTTTTCTGAGCTTCATGTAGTTTTTGATTCCAATGGACCCTTAACTACCTTATTTTACACCATATGTTAATCTCTAACTGTCTGGCACTTCTCTCTGGGTAGAAATCTTAGAATACCCATTTAAATACATACATGCTAGACATATTAAAAATTATTAAATAATTTTATTTTTCTCCTTCATATTACTAATAGTTGCCTAATGTTAAGCATTTTAGAAAACCTGAAGAAATAAAAAGTTTTTTTCATTTACACACACATATAAAAATATATATTCAGGTAAGCAAGTATCTGCTCATTATACTGTCCAGATTTAAGAGTGCCAAAAATAAGTAAATAAAATACCTGCAAATTAAAATGAGAGTGCTAGATTTTAACAACTTTGACCAATGCATTGTCCTATTGAAATTCAACTTAAAGTGATAGTTAATATGCCAGAAAACATTGTGTGGCACTTAGGAGTATTCTTTAAGCAGAATCTGCTTTGTGCTTAGAACATACTCAGGTTGACAGTTTCAACGGTAAGTAGCAATAAAGATCAAGAAAATTCCCAACTTGTCTAATAACCCCTCTATAACAAAAAGGAAAAAAAAAAGCATCACCATCTTTTAGCAATGGACTCAATTGAAAGTACATTTATTTACATGTAACAAGTGCTTAGATAAAAAGTGCTCATACAGTACGATATTTGGTTAATGACCTTTGATTTTTCAAAACCCACAACACACAAAATATTTGCTTGCCTGTGTATCGATTTAATTCACAAACAGTAACCTGAGCTATCTTTTCTCCATCAAGTACTTAAACAGTGCAACATGTCAGTTGTCTCAGCAGACACTAAAGCCTGGATATGAACCATCTCAGGGAGGTATCCCTGCTTAAGGAAAATGCAAAGCAGCCCAAAAAATACAGTGATAAACTTCTATGCCAGAGTCTCCAAGGTAGTAAGGCAGTTTCTTACATAAGAGGTGAAATAACGAATTCAAAATGTTCATTTGCTAATGTAAGATACAGTATTGAATTTTTTGGCAAAAATAAAGAACAACCATGTTGTTATTCTGAACAGTATTCAACGTGGACAAGTAGATCTCGATGTTCGGTGGCTGGATACTGGATATTGCACTTGGGACATTCCACCAGGCTTTCGTTCAGTGCAGCTGTGGGACTTTTTGGTGACGCAACTTTTGCTTTGTTTTCAGTCCCTCCTTGGAAAGTGACTAATGGCTCTGTGAAGGCAAATTCAGGAAGCTGCTTCTGAAAAATAAATGTCAAATAAACGCCATTTATATGTAAGTTGTAACCGCTGCATAGATAGTCCAGCTGCATCAGCCCCGCAGGCAGATTTTCTTTTGAATCTCTGCTCATGGGTATTATGGTGCTAACATATGATGTGGTTATAAATTGCCCAGATGACCAAGGAAGTACTGGGGTCGGGCATTTATAGGAGTAGGTTTTATTCAAATGCTTAGAGCCGAATGTCAAGGTTGGCCTGTGTGCAAGGCTGACAAAATTTGCTAGTCTTGATTAAGAGGAGCACTTCAGCAGTAAAGAACTATGTGGAATGAAGAGCAGCACAGAATTTTAGCAGATCAAACAAGTTATACACAGAAATGACTGTGTAATACCTTTGACACTTTGCTTTTTCATGTTTTCTGAGGAACTTAAAATAAAGCTTAAAACGGAGTATTTTACAACATCCTGTAAAGAGGAACACAAAGGAGGAACACAAAGAAAATACAGAAAAATTATGCATTCTTTTGTATGCCCTCCAGCTCCCTAGGCTTTGAAAAACAGTCATTAACAGGAATGAGTGATAAATTTCTATTTCAAATATTATAAATGGTCGAAATCAGTAACACACTAAAGGATAGAGCCAAAAATATATTTTCTTTATAGTCAGAAAGGAGTTACAAATGATTTTTTAAAACCAATTGCTTTTTTCTTTTTTGAAGACTGAGTAATTCTATTTGTAACATTTCACCATCTGCAAATACTCTGCAGTACTAGGATGGTATATAAAATATGTGCTTCAGGACATATACCCACACAGACCCCGACAGGTTTGGTCCAAAAGCTTACTAGTAACGTGAAAATAGGTAAGTCAGAAACCATTCCCGCAGAGAATCAATGTTATTTAAAAGGTTTTTGTTTTAAAAGATTATGTATTCCCAGACAACAGTATGGTGATTAGCAGAGGGAAAGGAGGGCCGGGGGAGGTAGAAGAGGGTAAAGGAGGGAGAAATGGTGATGATGAAAGAACTGACTTGGGGTGGTGAACACACAGTACAACATACAGATGGTGTATTACAGAATTGTATACCTGAAACCTACAGAATTTTATTAACCAATGTCATCCCAATAAATTCAGTAAAAAAAGTGAAAAAGATGCTTCCCCCCCCCCCGCAAATGATTGTGTTGAGGGTAACCCACAAAAGGTGCTTAACTCAGTATGTTTAAAACAGTTTATTAAATAGTAACAGTCCCTTATCCCTAAAAACAGCATTTCCTTCTTTCATTCTTTTTAAATAGAAAAATATAATTCCCTCCCTTGCCCCATGCTCTCCCCCAGGCCAGGCACTCCGTGTGCCTCTGGAATCACAGCCCAGGGCGGGTGCGGGATGATCCTACGCACCGGTAACGTAATGATTACCAAGAGCTACGTAATGGCCCTCTTTCCCTTGCTCTGAACTGATGCTCAAAGGGCAGTTGCTTCACATGAGGCAGGGGCTCTGCCTGTTGATTTGAGGGACTGCTGTTCTTTAAGTGGGATCCTCCTAGTTTGGGAACTGGTATGGCATATAAATGGAAAGAAGGCAGAAAGAGAAAGAAGAAAAAAGTTTTAATTTTAACCATTCTAGACTCACCAAGGATTCCAACTGTGTTATTTGATTTCTTGCTTTTTGAAGCTCCTTAAGAATTACATGCAATTGATGCTGCATATTTTGACGGTCAAGTTTTTCATTTTCGAAGTCTAAAGTGCATGCCTGAATCTGCAGAAATGCCCAGGACAAGATAGTTACAGCTAGTGTAAACTGTCCAGTTTTCTTGACTGGACACTTGCGTTTTTTAAATTAGCACAAGAAGCAAACATTTGTGGTACCATCAGAGCAAGAAGTCAACTGAGCACAGTGAGATATTGATAAATAGAATAGGATCTTACTTATATGTGGAATCTAATCAACAAAATAATTGAACAAACAAAATAGAAACAAGTATAGATACACAGAGCAGATTGATAGCTGCCAGAGGGGAAGGGGGTTGTAGGGCTGGGTAAAAGAAGGTAAAGATACTAAGAAAAAGAAAAAAAAAAAAATATATATATATGAAACAGAGAAACAGACAACAGTATGGTGATAGCCAGAGGGAAAGGAGAGTGGGGGGAGGTGGAAGTGGCAAAGGAGGGATAAATGGGGACAGAAAGAGACTTGACTTTGGGCAGAAAGTACATGATGCGGTATGCAGGTGATGTTTTATTGAGTTGTACATTTGAAATCTGTACAGTTTTATGAACCAATGTCACTCCAATAAATTTAATTTAAAAAATTAAAATGAAAAAGAAGTTCATGGTTGAGGACTTGGTTGATCCAAGGACCAAAAAGCCAATGTTTGAGGTGTAGGTATCTCCCTCACCCCCTTATTTATGTGGAAGGGGGAGAAGGGAAAGAGATGGCTGCTCCCTGGTTTGGAATGTACTCAAAATCTCTGGTCTCTATTCTTAGACTAAATGGTGACTCTTTGAGTTCTGCTTGAAGTTATGAGGCAGCTCTGTAAGGGAGATCCTGTTAGGCTAGAGTAGGAACTACAAGAAGCCATTTGGGGAAGAATAAAATTTGCCCGAGTGAACACCTACCTGTCAAGAAAATTGCCACCTCACCTCAGAGAATCTGTTTCAGCCTAACAACAGTAACAGGAATACATGGGTAGCACAGATAAAGCTTTTTAAAAACATTTTTCACAACTTTGAAATGGATCTTCACAGAATAGTGTAAACATGAGATAAAATTCCATTTTCTAATGGGTTATATTGGATTTAGAAGCAACCCCAGCAAGTACCTGTTGTTCCAGCAGAGCTACCCTTGTTTGTTCCTCTTGCTGCTTTACCAGAGACGTGTAAAGAAACTGGACCTGCAGGGTGTAAATGGAGACAGTGTGGTCACATCCAACCTCTCTATCCCTTGACCTGCAGGCATGAGCACTTGCGAGTCTCACATCTCTAACCAGAACACCGCCTGCTAGTCTGAGTGAGTCAGTCCAGCCGGTGCTGTGATGGCTATCGGTGGCAGCACTGAGAGCCGGCTGAGAGCCCCCGCAGGCACAGACTGAAGGCTGAGGAAGAGCAGAGAACGCTACAGCGGCCACACACACTGTTCTGGAGGCTCTGACATCTAATCTATTAATATTTCTAAGTAGGATAATAGCTGGCAGGGTCTTGCCTCCTTGGCCACAGAACTGGAGCAAAATCCTCAATCATTTAGGCATAATCTTTCATAAATAATCACTGCTCACACCTATAGGCAGAAGTGAGTATGGTAAAGACTAAGAGGGCAAATGTTACAGATTATTCCACCCCCCACTCCCCACCAACATCTGGAGGATTTTTAAAATTACTATTCTTTCTTTTTTTAAAAAGATTTTTTTTTGACTTTTAGACAGAGGAAGAAAGAGGGGAACATCAATGTGTAGGTGCCTCTCAAGCGCCCCCTACTGGGGACCTGGCCGGCAACCCAGGCATGTGCCGTGACTGGGAATCAAACCAGTGACCTTTTAGTTTGCAGGCCAGCTCTCAATCTACTGAGCCACACCAGCCAGGGCAAAATTTACTATTCTGATAGTAGTGATCACTAACATGTCCCTTTAGTTTACAAAGATTTTACATTCTCTCAATTGCCTCTCACAAAGGCCCTGAGAGGCAAGAAGAAATTACTATTATTAATTTGACACACGATTAACCTGCAGGTCAGAGAAGTTAGATGATTTGCCTAAGGCCACACACATCCTGGACCAGAGTCCAGGTATGGACTCCAAATACTGTTCTCATAATCCGAACTCAGTGACTTCAGCATTCTGGCGTAAAGCCGAGCGTGTGAGAACACAGAAGGGGCCATATTAACTATGTGAGCACAGTACCACGGCCAAGGCCTTGGAGTCAGTCTTGATTCCTCTCTTTAAATGTTCTTGCTTCTCACACATACTTACCTCCTCTCTCAGAGCCTTTAAAGTGTTTGTGAGCTCCCCGGGCTGGGGAGCCACTCACCAGGATGGTCCCTTCTTGTCATCAGGTCTTTGTCCCAACACCATCTCCTCCATGAGGCCTTCGCCAGCCCCGTTTCTCTTTGTCGGATTATTCTGTGATACTTTCTTTAGTTTCTTATTTATGGTCTATTTCCATTCTAACTATGAACACCCACCAAGGGGACAGGATTGCTTTGTTCCTGCTGGTTCCTTAGTGGTTAAAATAGTCTCTGACACTTAGTAAGTACAATGAAAAATTTGAATTATGGATCATGGGAAACCTTATTGGTTAGGCTCACCTGTGATAAGAGCTCTTCAGATCTCTTCTTCTCTTCTTCAAGTTTTCTCCTAGCAGCATCATTCTCATCCTTGAGCCTTTGTATCTTCTCTGTTTTATGCCTATCATCTTCCAGATGTTGTATATTTGCCTTTCTTTGTGAACACAACAGTTTATTTAAATCGTGGATTTCTTTTTGGGTTTCTTCATATTTTCTTTGAAATTCACTAAGTTCAAAATTCAAATGAGTTACGGTTTGTCGTTCAGCCTCAAGATCTTTTTTGGCATTTGCCAACAAATAGTGGTAATGTTTTTGCTTTTCTTCTAGAAGAAAACCTATGACAAACACAGCAGGGCAAAACTCACTTTATGAAATATGTAATAGTCCTGAAAAGATAAAGATAAACCCATTTCTGGAAACAAGATCACATTATTTCCTCACTTTACAAAAGGAAGAGTCAAGAGATAGGGTTGATATTTGACGGAACAAAAACACCAGGTACATTATTTGAAATTAACAATGCAAATAACTAAAAGGACTAAAAACAGTAACATAACTATTCTATGGAGAGGGAAAGTCACTAATGTCTAAAAGAAGAGAAGTCAACAAATAGGGATATAAGCTTATTACTTATAGGTGAGATCATTACCAAAATTAAAATCAGAAATGTTAACAGCATCTGCCCTGACAGGAAGAAACAGAGACCAGGATGAGATGGGAAAGGTGGAGCAGGACCTTTCTGTACTATTAAATTATTTTAGCAAATGCGTATTACTTTGATAACACAAACACACCCCTATATTACTGAAGAAAAAATCAGACCTAGCTCATAACTAAAATCCTACTTCCATGTTTAGTAACCTTGTAAAGGTATTGCAGTAGTGACTTTGTCCCCTTAGGGATAAACAGCTTTGCATAGTCCCCAGAGGCATTCCTTCCATTTCTTCTTTCTAACATTAGCTTCACTTAAATACTCAAGAGCCTTGCTTGCCTTCTTTAGCCTTCTCTCTTGTGTAATTCAAGGCTTCCTTCCCGTTAGGGCTCTTAGTCATTTAATGAGTGCTTTGCATGGGGTTTCTCTTCTGTTCTTAGACTGTCACCTGTAAGATGAGTAATGACCCTCTGCCCCATCTCTTAAGGTTCTTGTGAAAGTCAGTTGAGAGCAGTGTTAGGGAAACAGCAAAGCACTTGGCAAAAAAACAGCATTGTTCATCAGAAACTTTATCTCAGTTCTATGGTGAGATTCGACCGACTGAAGTATCACCTATAAAATGTATACTTTCTCCTGGGGTTTGAAATGATAATTGGTGACAAGGCAGCTCTGGGGGCAATAAAGTTGGAGAAGGGCTTTGAAGGGGGGAGGACATACAGAGTGGAAAAAATGTAATGTGCCTTCAGAGCTGCCAGAGGTCCCTTGGTGTCCTGGGCCTTTTGCCTTCTTTTACCAGAAAACAATGGGAAATAAAACAGACTGGGCAAAATGGTATGTTTTCAGAATACCATTTTAATAAGACTTGCTCTTATTTTGCTTTCTTTTAAACATTTTAATTTATTGATTTTAGAGAAAGGGGAGGGGTGGGAAAGAGAGAAAGAGAGATTGAGATTTATTTGTTGTCCCTCTTATTTATGCGTTCATTGGTTGATTCTTTTATGTGCCCAGACCGGAGATCAAACCCACAACCTTGGCATATGGAGACGGTGCTCTAACCAACTGAGCTACCCAGCCAGGCCTTATTTTACTTTCTAACACATGCCTATAAGATCTAAATTTGAGGAATCTCTCCTTTTGGAAAATGTCAGGCAGACCTATCCCAAAAGAACATGTTTATATCAGTACCTTCTGATTCATTCATTTTTGTCTGCTGTGGAAGTGATTGAGCAGCTGTTTCCGATTTCTGTTGCAACTCATAGATTTTTGCTAGAAGTCCTTGTACGTAGACCTCTCGCTGCTGATCATACACAAGCCATTGCTGATTTTTCTCTAGAGCCTCAATGTGAAAATGTATGAAAATCAATAATAAACATTATTATAATAATAACAAATGAAAAACTAAGAAAGCAAAATCTTAAAATAGGCAAGGAAGCCCAAATGATGTAATCTTTTCTAGCAGATAAAAATTCTTTTGGCTCACAGGATAATTCCCTCATTAGCTCCAAAGTATAAAAAAGAACTGCAAAACTGTCATTTTCAGTAGATGTGAGATCTTGCTTCCTGGCACATCAACAGTTTGGCTCAAATAAACTATTATAAAAATTCTCTATAGTTTTGGATGTTTCTTATATTGACAAACCCTTTGTAATAAAAGTACCATAGCTATTTCTATAATCTTACAAGTTCTTAATATGTACCCCTGGTGCCACAGTTCACCCCAGACCTGTTGTAATTTATTGTTATCAATGATTGAAGTAGCAGCCAGGATGAGTAATTTCATATCCTTCAGGGCTGCCAGAAAGAGATGGTACAAACACAAAGTTCTTAACAAAAGTTGCATGGCGAAGCCTTACTGAAGTAAAACATACATACTGGAATATGTTTTCTAAGATGTCTGATTCATTTTGAATTGCCCTACATTTGTCGTAGGTGGACTGTAAAAGGAGGGGGGGCTCCCTTCCTCCACAAGCTGGCATCTCACTCTAGAGGGGTGAGATGGGGTAAGTCATAAGAAACATACTGGAAGGTTTTGGTTGTATATCAGGGCATCTTCTTTCAGGTAAGAATTTCTATTGTTTAAAGACACAGGCAGTTGAGCTGCATGTCCAAAGAGATCTATATATAGGAAAACTCTAAGTCTAGAGAGTTCCTCCAACATTTGCTAGGCTCCTTGCATGAACATCCTACAAACTCCTGAGCAAAGTTTCTAGGTATGGGGCTTGAAGGATTTTCAATGTCTATTATCCCTGAAGTTAGGAAATGGATTAGGAAGACAGAGGCAACTTCTGGAATCAAAGACTTAGTCCAGGGCCCTCCAGCCACGTGACCACTTTTCTCTCTGCACGTTAGGCAGTTATATTTGTTCTTCTCATATGACTTAAAAGTTCATTCATCAAATGAAGATACTGTATACTCAGTCTACATTATACAGTATACTCAAATTTAGTTGATAAAGAGATATAGCATTGTATGACTCAAAAAGCATACATATATCCAAATACTTATAAATCCTGTGTTTGAGAATAAAAATACCTAATTTTATACCAAATTTTAACTTTTCCATATTTAAGAAATATTTTAATATAGTTTAAGTCAACATTAGTCATGAAAATTTTCTTCTTTTAAAGACAACTGTCCATATATTACTTGAGTGTGAAAAAACAAAAGTATGCGCTGATTTAAGATTTGAGAGGCAATACTCTGAAAGGTCACATGATGGTGATGTCCCTTAAATAAAGTAGTAAACATTTGTTCATATCCTACCTCTTCTCACTGACCCTATTCATCTGCTTTCTTCTCTTAATAGCATCAGTAAATGGATTTGACAGCTATCAAGGAAAGTTGATGTTAATAGTTTTCCTCTTTAGAGTCATTGTTGCATTGCTTGATCCCTTCCAGCTCTGTGTCATCTACAGGTTCGTTAGGCATGCATGTAACATTTCCATCCAAGTTATCAGTAAAAATATAGAACAAGTATGGGCAAAAGTGAAGCCCTCTAGAATGTTACTAAAGCTCTTCCTCCTGGCTTGACAGGATCCGTTAAATGTTCCTTAGAGAAAAATTCCAACATAGACTAAAACGTTAGCCTATACTGGAGGAACAAAAATGCAGGTCAATTGACAAAACTGGAATATGGACAGGGTCCACATTAAATTTATTAAAAGTTGCTATCTGTATTTTAGTCATGTAAGAAGAACTTCCTCATTCTTAGGAATAAATATTAAAGTATATAGGCTTAAAGGACTATGGGTACATGCAACTCATTCTCAAATGGTTCAGACAAAAATAAAGCATATGTGTGGAGGGGTGGGGACTGAAAGAGAGTACAAAAGAGGATAAAATATTAACAATGATAGACTGGTAAATTTGGTAAATGGTCATGTTACGTACCATTTTCATTCTTGTCACTTCTCTGTAAATTTGAATTGTTTCCAAATAAAAGATTTAAAAATAATTATCTTCCCTAAAGTCTATATTTGAAAGTAAGGTTTTTTGTGTGTGTGTGTGTGTGTGTGAGTGTCTGTTAATGAAGAGCAAGAAATGCCTATGAAAACTGCCTTTTAGCTATTTGGTTTGATTTAGTTTGAAAGTTGCTGACATCAGACGATGGTCACATCATTAATGTAATTATTTCAAAATGTCGGCCAGACCTAAATGTAGCTGAGGAGTTATCGATACAACTACGCCTTAAGAAAGGTAAACACAGGATTTTGGGGCTTCTTTTACCATAACAAACACTGATCTTAAAACAGGTAGGCCAACTTCCACAGGAAGTTTTGTGGGAGTGTTGAGGAAGGGTATGGGACTAGAACTGCTGAGCTCTCAAAAGCTGAATAATGTAAGAGTGTGTGGACTATCCAGAGTGCGGTTTCTCTACTCCTGCTCCCTAAGTCCTCTGACTACAGTTTCCCTCCCTGTTTTAAAGATCTGCAGAGATTGCAAAGTGACAAGCAGAGCTAAGCCACTGCTTGCTTATCAGAGGTAAATTACTGATTCTCAAAGGATGGCCCTTGAACCACCACCAAGAGCAGCAGCAGCAGGAGCTTGTTGGAAATCCATTATCTCAGGTCCTACCTCAGACCAAGGAAATCAGAATCTACCTTTTATAACGATCCCCTCGATTCATATGCACACTGGAGTCTGAGAGGCATTGCTCAGTCTACACCACCATTTGAAGGTGAGTTGGGTTAAATTTTACCCCATTTGTCTAAAAGCCTTTCTGAGGGAAACAGAGCAGAGAAGTATTATGTATTCCTTAAATAATCTAGGAAGATAGGACAAAAAGATTGGGTATAAACATGTAACATTTTTTAAGTTAATTTCATAAAAAGAACCATTATCTAAAAATAACTTGTTTATATTTGAAGCAGATAGCTCTGAGAAGCCTAAAAATTACGTATGAGTTTAAGAAAATAGCATGTATTTTCCGGTACTTTGCTAAAGGAAGATGCTAGTAAAATTCACACAAGAGTCCATTCAGTTATCCTTTCAACTGTTCTAGATGTTGGGGATAATGTACCAGACAAAACACTTATTTGATAGTTCTTTAAAAACTATGTTTCTTCCTTATTTTAGTTTCCTCTAAGTAAATTATTTTGATAAGGGTCCTATAGGACCCCACCATACAGACACTCAACAGATTTAAATTCTTTTGAAGATCAAATAGACTACAAAGTACAAAGTACACTTGCTAGATGAAATAAAACAAGAATCTTAAGAGCATACTTAGATCAGGGTAGACATACTAGTAATATTTCTAGAATCAAAATACCTACTTAGTGGTATAATAGTTAAATCACAAATTTCATACTTTGTATATCTAATCTTAAAACTTGAAAAAATACACTGTGAATAGTAGTCTTGTGTCCTCAATTTAATTCCCAATGAAACTTACCAATCCATTTAGGACATAAGTTTAAAATAATATAGTTTCACCATATATTAAAAATAACCCCATAACAAATTCTAGAGAAAAGAAGTATTGCGTATACAAAGAATGTATTTTCCTTTTCAAACTATTACATTATAATAACAAAACAGCTGGGCAAATTAGATTTAGGTGGAGAAGGGATGTTGTTGAGGTATTTGGTAGTGATGGGTGACTTTTAGGGCTTTCTAGCCAATGAGACCATGATTCGAAGAACCGGTCCCCTTGAATACGTGGACACTATAGGAAGTCAGTCACCTAGAGAAATGATCTCAGACCACTCAGTTCTCCATCTCAACAGGTTTTTTTCAACTCACAGCATCACTGCTGTCAAATTCCATGAAATTTAAGAATGAAATCAGTCCTCTTTAGCCACAACTTAAGAAGACGAAAAGGAACTTACATCTCTCAGTTGTATTTCCGTTTCATGCATATTATTCATTGATGAGTTGAAGCAGTTTGTAGTCTCAGTCTGTAAATAAACCAATATTAGTTAACATCCCAAATTTAATAATAGAAGCTCCCTCATTATACTTCACAGGGGCATCCCAAATCCAGATCTTACACCTGCTGGTGAAACCTATGCCAGGTGAAGGGTACCAGAGGAGAATTAAGATCTTCTGGAAATGTCCTAAGTGAACTGGAGACATTGAGATTTCATATCTAATTTGACTTTTGAGGTCCTCTGGACCCCAGGATCACCAGAGTAGCCCTCAGTGCATATGAGTAGCTCAATGGTTTTCACCAAAAGGAGACAAAGCAAAACTGGGCTATTTGAATGAAATCTGGAAAATAGTAAATTGTCGAACAAAAGGTAAAAGTTGTTTTCTAAGAATTATGTTTATCTTAGTAACAGCATTATTACTAGTTCATCTAGATTATGTAGAATTTAAAACATAACTTCTTTTTCCTTCATTTTCTCATAAAGGAAAAAAGAGGGGAACTAGGTAGTTAGGTATTTAGGCTAGCCAACAAAACTCACAAAAAGCTGTATTCCAGTCCTTACCTGTGTTAACGCTGGCAAGGAAGTTCAAAATATTTTTTTTCTCCAAAGGTGCTCTAGACACTCACCCTAATATGTAGCCCTTTCTCTGTCTGAATTTAGTTCTCTAGGTGGAAATTACAACAGAGATAGGTGGCCAAACCTCTTTCCTTTCTCCCCTGGGCACACTGTAGACAATGTTCCCAGCCTTCCCTGTGGTTAGTGAGGCCCTGAAACTGAATTCTGTCCAGTGGAATGTAGGCAGAAGAGACATATGCCAAAACCATGCCTGGCCCCAAACCCTCCCCCAGTTCTCCACAGACTCTCTCTTGCTCACAGCTGTATAAAAAGGATCTGGTGGAAGACTCTGCCATAAGGGGTGGGAGGGGCGAGGGAAGAGAAGGAATCTGGGTCTCTGAATGACTCTGTGGAGCAAAGCCTCCTCCACTCCAACCTGCACTAGACTGTGACATGGGGGGGAAAATAAACCTTTGTTGTAGAAGATTGTGATTTGGAGGTGGTTTGTTATATAGCAACTAGACGTGCTGACTAACAAAGAAATTAATAGTGAAGCCCTGGCCAGGTAGCTCAGTTGGTTAGAGCATTGACCCGACATGGCAAGGTTGCGGGTTCGATGTCCAGTCAAGGCACATGGAAGAAGCAACCAATAAATGCATAGTGAGTGGAACAACAGATCAGTGTTTCTCTCTCTTTCTAAAAAAATTAATAATTGTGATCTGGCTGGTGTGGCTCAGTAGGATAAGCACTGGCCTGCAAACCGAAAGGTCTCTAGTTCAATTCCCAGTCAGGGCACATGCCTGGGTTGCGGTCCAGGTTCTTGGTTGGGGGCATGCAAGAGGCAACTGATCGATGTTTTTCTCACACATTGATGTTTCTCTCCCTCTCCTCCCTCCCTTCCCCTCTAAAAAAATAAATAAAACCTTTTTTGAAATCAGTCAATAAAAAATTTTAAAGAAATGAATAGTGTATAGCCTACGCAATATATTTTTTAAAAAAGATCTTACTGTGTCAGGAAAAAAAATCGGGGTTTAAAGAAATTACGAGTACCTGTGATGAATTAATTGCTTTAGTTTCAAGTTCAGTGAGTCTCGCAGTTGTAGTAGACAACTGTTTTTTCAATAAATCTGCCTCTTCAGACAAGGATTTCAACAGCTGTTCCCTCTTTTCACCTTCCTTTGTTTTCTCCTCCAACTGTTCAAGCAATGCAGTAGTACTATGTTTGGTTTTCAGGTGGTCTCTGAGTTGCTGTATTTCTTTGTCCTTCTCTATGAGATGATAAGCATTCTTCTCCCTCTCAGCCTCAAGGAATTGAATTTTCTAGATATAAACTAAGAAGAATCTTAGAGCAAAGCCAGGTCAAACATGAAAGTAAAGGTATACTACAACAAACATTTATGAAGGGTTTACTATATATCAAGCCAGCATTGTACTAAATATGAAGCCCAGAAAGATGATGAAGCCAAGGTCTTAGGCTCAGAGAGCTCAGGGAAGTAAACTAATACATTAATGCAATATGGTTAAGTGCTGTAGGTAAGGCTACACATACTTAACTACATGTAGTTAAGACTACGTAAATAAAATGGATATGATACGGACACAGAAAGGAGAAACCAACTTTGTCAAGAGTGGTAAGAGAAAGCTAAAGAAAACCTGAGTCTCTCACATGAGAATCTGATAATCAACCCTTCATCGTACCAGTGCTAATAATCTTAAAGGCTAAAAGGCACATGAGATGTATGCTCATTGATGAACTTGAAACAAGAGACCTTAAAAATTATACAACATTCACACCTAGATAAAAATGTATTCATTAACTTGCTTTTTGTTAATAAATTTGGTATCCAATCTAGAAGGTTGTGTTCAAAATTTTCAAGTACTTAAAAGATAAAGAAGTCATGCTTGTTGTACTGCTGCTGGCACAGGGGAGAAAGCACCAATGGAGATGACAGAAAAAGTTACGAGAATGACTTTACATGCTAACAAGGTAAAAACATCATAAAATTAAAAACTGGCATTTGGCTGGATGGGGGAGGGGACGTGGGATGGGGAGAAGCAATTGTTCCAAATTGTTCAAATACAAATAGGGGAACATTCTGTTGGATGATTGTGTGCAAATGATGAGGAATTTTAGTTAACTACAAGCTTAACAGAAGGCAGTAGTATGCTACAGTTACCAAAAAAAGCCAATACAATTTTAGGTTTTCATGGAGTACAGTATCCCCATCTGGAAATAAAGGTACCATTTCAACCTGTGTTTTCCACTGTGTACAGTACTGGGTGCAGAATTCAGAAAGGAAATGAACATACCACCAACTATTCAGGAAAGTTACCAGGATGATAAGAAGACAGAAAAGCTGAAGAATATGGGGTAGGTCTACAGAAAACACGTTTTTCTTAAATATCTGAATAGTTGTCAATTGCATTAAAAACATACTTGTTCTGTGTAGCTTTAATGGGCACAATTAGAACAAATGGGTAGAAGGTACAAGAAGTTTAGTTTCAACTGATTGTAAAGGAATGGAGATTTGACAAGCAGTGCTTGTCAAAAGTGGAATGAACTGGAAAGAGATCTTTCAGGGAAGCTATCAGATTCCTTCACCAGACTGCAAAATAATCTTCATATCTAAGAACTGGTGATAGATTGTTTTTCAATTCTTGAATATGTATTTACCTCAATATATGTTGTTAAAAATAATAAGTCACTTGGTTTTATTATGTGTGAAATCCAATGATGCTACTTAATGCAGGTCATTTATTTTCTAACTTTAATAATAAAAGGACTATTATAAAATAAAATAAGTCAATGACTAATTTTTTAAACCCTTCCAGTTCTAATAAATTCCCAACTGCTCTACTGACTCTGCTAAAACAAACTGAAAATTAGGGAACATGAAATATAGTTTAAAAGAATGCAAAATGCCAATATATGTAACAATTTTATCTCAAAACAACCTGAAAACAAAGATTACCTGGAAAGCAGCCAATAAACACAATAAAATAGATTTTTAAACATTCATATGAAAATCCAAACTCCATTTAACCCTTTGAAATAATTAGATTTGATTTTTTACATTTAGTAAGCTAACAAAAAAGCTAGTATATCATTATTGGGGAAATACTTTCTAATCTCCTACCAGAAAACTTACTACAACTGAAAAGAGTTTTTAAGGTCATTTACCTCCAAAAGCCTGTGTGTCTCTTCATCAGTCAGCTTTCCTCTTCCACTTGTGTTTGCATCCACTGATGTTTGTAAGGCTGCAATTTTTCCCCTAAATTTTTCTAATGCAGTTTCTGATTTGGAGCTACTAGACTTTGATCCCCATTTGCTTTTAATTAAACTTTTGGAACTTCTGGAGGACATCTCTGAAAATGTAAAAATAAAAACGCGATTATAGTTTATAAGTCTGAGTTTAAAAAGTCATATCCTAGGTTCGAAAAGGTCTAATAACCTGTTTGCTAAACAGAAGCTGCTTCCTATGAAAAGAAGCAATGTGGCCAAGCCGCTAGGGTATGGGAGAGGAAATGGGGACCGAACCTTGAATTATTTTTGTCACCCACCGTGCCTAAGAGCAGGTGCTCACAAAATACTTAGAGATTTGCGGAAGTGATCTAGGACATGCTGGACAGTAGGTGACCAAAGAAACATTTAAATGAATCCAGCACTCTGAACAAGGCATCGATTACAGGCTACATCATCTACAAGTGGAGGCAAATCTTACAAAGCCCTCATGTAAGACATCACGGGGGAGGCAGACAGGCAAAGTAAAACTGCAAAGAGAGGCACTTGTTTTTTCCTCTCGCTCTTAAGACATGGAAGTTCTTGCTAATCGGCAAAATGCTTAACTAAATAAAGACCTTGGCTAAGTCACTTGGCCTCTCCGTGCCTGTCTGTAAGGGGACGATAATACTCACCGCAAAGGTGAAAGGAAGAATCGAAACCACAACGGTCGTGAGGTGCCCAGCCGGGTGCCAGGAAAAGCGGGTTTAAATCAGGCGGGCAGAGATTTGAGTCCCAGCGGACCTGATCTGCTCACTGATGCCGCCTTCCGCTTGGTCCGGCCCCGTCGCGAGGCTGGGGCACCAGGCAGCGCCTCCCCAACCTCCGCAGTCACCTCCCAGCAGGCTGCCAGCACCTGAGGCGAAAAACGGAGCTCGCGTCAGCCCAGCTACACCTCCGGTGCCAAAGCCGCTTCCGGGAGTTTGAATCCCGCGGCTGCAGGGCGGAGCACGTCACTGCCGGCGGGTCCCAGATAGGAAGGAGGTACTCGCAGGCGCGCGGTGCGGTGAGGTTGCAGCTCCCCAATTGGCTGCGACCTTCTAGGGGCGGGACCTGGAACCCAAGTGCGAGGGTGGGTGAGGCGAGACGGGATGGGGTTGGGGGCGGGTCCGGGCGAGAATACTGTCTCCCGGGGACGAGAAAGCTGTCTCCTAGGACCGCCTCCGTCTTCGGGGCAATCTCTGGGTGTTTCTGATGGCTCAGACCTCACATTCGGTGTTCCTTTGTAAAGGGCTGATTTGTGTTTATCTGCTTTGAGGATGAAGCAAATTCCTGTGCTGAGATAAACCCAGTGACTGTGAACTGGAACTAACTCATTCTGTGTCCTTCAGCATAATTCGCCTTTCTAAGTACCAGTTTCGCCTTGTATAAAACGGGGAAAAGTGGATTCCACAAAGGAGCACAGCCTTCCAGTCTTCCCTTTGGGCTGCCTCTTGTCAGGGGTGCAGGAATGGGGGGTAGAGGGGGGCGGGTGTAACACGTGGAAGAACTGGCAGCTACGCTCGGGTTGATAACTGAGATTACGGGCTCTGGAGGAAGCGAGTGTGGCCTTTGCTCCAGATTGCTGTCCTCTGGTTTGAGATATATCTGTTGGTCCAGTCTGGGTCATGGTTAGCCGTTCTTAAGCATTAAACACACCAGAGATTTAAAACAATAAATGGAAACGGTAACAAAACATTTTAGGAAAGCAATGTGGCACACTGGTTAAATTCTAGATTAGGACTGAGTTTAACTCCTGACTGCCTTGAACTATGTAATCGTGAATAAATTGTTTAATCTCTCTCATTCTCGGTTTTCTTATCCGAAAAAGGATGCAAATAATAATATCAATCTTATAGGGTGATTATGAGAATTAAATGAGAAAACCCATGCAAAGTGCTTGACATTTTAGTAAATGCTCAATTGATGTTAACCATTATTAAACATAAAGCAACAAACTCCTATGTTACTGAATAGAATAGATAAGAAACCCTGTAGAGAATTTAAAATGATTTTTTCATATATATAATGCTAGGAGATAATGTTGGGTCCCTGCTTCCAAAGAGTTCACATTTCTGATGAAAAGATGAAAAGAATTGGGCTCTCTCACGTCTGTCGTATAGAATTATCAGATGGGATTGAGGTGGGAGGAAGTTGGGGCAAAAGGAAGTGAGGTTGTGAATGTTATTCATTGCCCAGTGTTGAGAACAAGGGTAAAATTACTTTCTGTAGAAATTTACAGAAGTTTTTAGAAAGATACAGAGAGGGAGAAATCTCCCTGCTCAATGTCAGCCAAATAGGGAGTAGAGAAGAGAAGAGAGGGAGAGAGAGGAACTGTGTGTAGAAGGATGGCACCTGGTACCTGGGCCTGCTGGGCCAGACACCCCAATTATATGTCTGCTCCCCAGGTTCCTCTCTTCTGGTGGGAGCTCCTGTGTGGACAAAAAAGGTGGGGGGGATCTATAATAAATCTGTTAAATTCAGATTTAAATCTGATAAGTAACCTCACGGAGTGATCTGATCATAAATTTCTAACTGAGCAGGTCGTGATGGGTAGTCATATCCTAGGCATATAACATCGTTAGTAAAATGTTTACCTTTGCCTTAAGCAAGCCCTGTCAATTGTCCTTTTGCATCTAGGTGTTAACCATAAATTATGCATAAATTGTAACTACCTTCAAGAGAGCAAATAAGTAATCTAGGCCCTAGCTGTTGTGGGTGAGTGGATTGAGCGCCAGCCTGCAGTCTGAAAGGCCGCCAGTTTGATTCCCTGTCGGAGGACATGCCTGGGTTGCGTGTCAGGTCTCCAGTTGGGAGCATGCGAGGGGCAGCTGGTTGAAGTTTCTCTCCCTCTCTTTCTCCTTCCCTTCCACGTCTCTAAAAATAAATTAAAAAGAAAATAATAATAATAATAATCTTATTAACTATCCTGTACCTTGCCCTCTCCCAAGTTCATGTAATGTTCCTTATGTTTCTTCTTTAATTCTAAATGTATAAAAGAAACCGCAAAACTATCATTCTCCAGAGCATTTGAGATCTTGTTTCTCAGCAATGTGGTCAGTTTACTCAAATAAACTCATAAAAATTTCTGTACAGATCTGGATGTTTCTTACATCAACACATGTGACTGGGGACCCCTGAGGAAGAGGAGCAGGCAGGAGGCTCATTGGCTTGGTAACTTAATTCTGTAATTAATTCTGTATTTAATTGTGTAATTGTCATTCTTAGACCTGAAAATCATGTTTGCTCCTTGCAGAGAGGTGCTGCCAGGCATGAACTGTGAGGAGGTGGTAGTTTGCACAAGACCTCACAAAATGATAGTACTTTGATGTTGGCAGTTCACTCTGATGAATCCTAGACAAGGATTCACAATTCATCTTTATTCATTTACAAAGAGAAATGTAACAGCCAAACAGACTGGACATTTTCTCTTGTTGACTAATCTGATATGGGAGAATTCTTATTAGCCTAACCAGTCAGTAATGCTTCCTGACTTGGTTCTCAGTTCGGGGTGCATTCTATATGGAGAGGGTGGGTCTCCGAGCACTGGCTGCTCTGCCTGTTTTAGTTCCTTTTATTTATTTATTTTTTAAGATTTTATTTATTTATTTGCAGAGGGAGGGGAAGAGAGGCAGAGAAACATCAATGTGTGAGAAAAACATCAGTTGGTTGCCTCTCGCATGCATGCCCCCAACCAGGGACCTGGCCTGCAACCCAGGCATGTGCCCTGACTGGGAATCAAACCAGTGACCTTTTGGTTTACAGATCAACACTCAATCCACTGAGCCACACAAGCCAGGGCTGTTTTAGCTCCTTTTAAAGTTTAAAGTCTGTGGGGTTATTAAAATTGTCAAAGAACATTCAAGCCTGTGGAGAATTTTTATGAGTTTATTAGAGTTCATTTGAGCCAAACAGAAGACACTCCTGGAAGCAAGATCTCAACAGACTGAGCAAAATGCTCCCCAAAATGACATTTTGCAGTTTCTTTTACACATTTTAAATTAAGGAAGATTAGAAAGCAAGAGAGGGAAATCCCTGTGATTGGAGAACAGGATAGTTAAGAGTATGTGCTCTCTTGAGGGTGGTTCAGCTTTTGAGGTATCTGGAAAAGAGGCATTTCAAAGGTGCTTTAATCTAGACACACACACACACACACAAATGGACAGTGTTTTCTTAAGACAAAGATAACCTCCTACTAGGGAATTTATAGGCCTGAGGCGTGACTACCCACTATGACTGGCCCAGTTAGGAATTTATAATCAGATCACCTTGCGAGATTATTTTTGGTTAGATTTATTACAGAGCCCCCTTTTCATCCACAGAATGTTTTATTTGTATTCAGAGTATTGGTATGCGATTCAATCATTTTGCTGCTCTGCTCCAAAATGCATCTCTGACAAGTCTCCCCTGCCCAGGAGGCATGGTTTCAGCAGTTTAAAAGCCTTGACTCTGGAGGAAGCCTGCCTGTGTTCAGATCCTGGCCCCGCTTACTGTGAGAACTTGGGCAAGCTGTTTGACCAAACTATGCCTCAGTTTTTCTGTCTGTCACATGGGGATGAAAAATTAGTACTTTCTTCATAGGATAGGTCAGTGGAAGAATTAAATGAGTCAAAATAAAATGCTTAGGACAGCACCTGGCACGAAGGGAGGGCACTCAGTGGGCGTTAGTTGTTAGGTTTCGGTCTTGTACCCGCCCACCTGCCTGCCCGCCCGCCCAGGCTCCCTGATGGACTGTTTCACCTCACACATGAGAGTCCACCAAAATCAAACGTCTTAGGGTTCCCCATGTTCACCATGTGTATTAGTTTAATTCTGTTTCAGATCACACACACACAGGAGCCTACCCTGCTTTCTCGCTCCTGCTCTGTCTTCTTTGTCTCCTCTATCATTACACTCACTCCATTGTGTTGTACCTATCTGTGAGCTTCTAGCAGAGAGGAAATGTATCTTACTCATCTTCGTAATTAGCATTGGGCCTGGAATTAAGTAGACTTTAAATGTGTTGGCTGACGAAAGCATGGGTACACGAATGAATTTGTCTATCAAACGTGTAGATGAGGAATTGAAAGTGAGTTCAAAGCTTAAAATGACTCTACTTCCTGTTTTATGTTTCTAGCTTTGTTTTAGAAAATATGTTACCACTTCCTTGGAGAAGGTCAGATTCGTTCCTGTCTTCTATCGCTCTTTCCATCTGAATAATGAGATGTGGTGGTGCCAAACGTTATCAAGTACTTGCTTCCTGCCCCTCATGTAGCCTTTGTCACTGCCAGGCACTTTTTTAAAGCAAGAAATTTAAATATACTATATATTAAGTCATTTCAAAATAACATCTACAACTATGCAAAACCCTATAATTAAGCTACTAAAAATAGTACTTTAGTTCTAAAAATCATTTTAGCTATCAACCAAGATAATTCTTTAAAAAAGTATTTCAGCAAACAGATCTTAACAATATTCCATCTGTAGGTGCCAGTTTGAAAATTGCTGTTAAGTAATATCTAAGATTCTGTAAAACTGGAATTGGAATAAGATATTATAAATCTATCTTCATTTCATTTCTGCCAAGTCTTTGCTGCCCTGATTATTTAGCTCCTTGTGCCTAGATTTTTTGCCACACCTCTCCACTCCTCTAGATATTTCTCTCTCTCTGTCCCCATTACCTCAGTGCTCCAGGACAG